GGGAGCCACGCAGGGTCACCGTGCTCAGTAACAGCCTGAACCTCATCAGGGCCAGGGAGCCACGCAGGGTCACCGTGCTCAGTAACAGCCTGAACCTCATCAGGGCCAGGGAGCCACGCAGGGTCACCCTGCTCAGTAACAACCTGAACCTCATCAGGACCGCAGAGCCACGCGGGGTAACCGTGCTCAGTAACAACCTGAACCTCATCAGGACCGCAGAGCCAAGCGGGGTCACCATGCTCAGTAACAGCCTGAACCTCATCAGGGCCAGGGGGCCACGCGGGGTCACCGTGCTCAGTAACAGCCTGAACCTCTTCAGGACCCCGGAGCCACGCGGGGTCACCGTGCTCAGTAACAACCTGAACCTCATCAGGACCGCAGAGCCACGCGGGGTCACCGTGCTCAGTAACAACCTGAACCTCATCAGGACCGCAGAGCCACGCGGGGTCACCGTGCTCAGTAACAGCCTGAACCTCATCAGGACCGTGGAGCCACGTGGGGTCACCGTGCTCAGTAACAGCCTGAACCTCATCAGGGCCAGGGAGTCACGTGGGGTCACCGTGCTCAGTAATAGCCTGAACCTCATCAGGACCGTGGAGCCACTCGGGGTCACCATGCTCAGTAACAGCCTGAACCTCATCAGGGCCAGGGAGCCACGCGGGGTCACCATGCTCAGTAACAGCCTGAACCTCATCAGGGCCGCAGAGCCACACGAGGTCACCGTGCTCAGTAACAGCCTGAACCTCATCAGGACTGTGGAGCCACCCGGGGTCACCATGCTCAGTAACAGCCTGAACCTCATCAGGGCCAGGGAGCCACGCGAGGTCACCGTGCTCAGTAACAGCCTGAACCTCATCAGGGCCGCAGAGCCACGCGGGGTCACCGTGCTCAGTAGCAGCCTGAACCTCATCAGGGCTGCAGAGCCACGCGGGGTCACCGTGCTCAGTAACAGCCTGAACCTCATCAGGGCCAGGGAGTCACGTGGGGTCACCGTGCTCAGTAACAGCCTGAACCTCATCAGGGCCGCAGAGCCACACGGGGTCACCGTGCTCAATAATAGCCTGAACCTCATCAGGACTGTGGAGCCACGCTGGGTCACCGTGCTCAGTAACAGCCTGAACCTCATCAGGACCGTGGAGCCTCGCGGGGTCACCGTGCTCAGTAACAGATCAGCACAGAATCACAACGAGGTAACAGCAGAACCCGGCAGCCCGGCTCCTGATGGGGCGCTGGCAGATTAGACAGACATTTATATAACGTCTAATGCTTTTTTAAACCTTGGCTGGATATCGTTAATCCTGGGTGTGGACCAGCTGTGAGGAAGGGCGATGATCCGGGGGCCACCTTGGAAATGGGATGTTAATGTTCATGGTGCTTTTGTCACCTAAAAGGTTAAGTACTGATTTACGACTGAAATCAACCACACAGGCCCTTTCATCTTTGATCAGATTCTGCTCCATTAAAAATGCTTTTATCTACTGAAATTCTTTATCGTTTGTAAAAAAAAGTTCAGCCCAAAGACCTGCAGTTCGGGTAACTGGCGCCTCTAACTTGCCCATAGAGTGTGATTTTTGGTGTTTGTGCCCTGCGATGGACTGTCTGTCCAGGGTGTACTGAAGCCAAGAGTCCCATGCTGCCCTTGATTGGCTCCCGGCTCCTGGTAATCCTGACGGGATGAGTGGTTAGAAGATGGATGGATGGATGGATGGAGGGATGGATGGATGAATGGATGGAGGGATGGATGGATGGACACACCCTAAGATGCTCACAGGGAAGGCCAGCTCTGTTTCTTTAATGCTTCCAATCTACCCATCTCTAACTCCACATAGTAACCCAAAGTTCATTGCTGTACTCCACCTGCACTGGATTACACACCTTCCAGGTTTACAAGGCATCTTTCTGCCTCAGTCACGCCACCTGCAGTTGATCGCACGGCACAGACAGCTAACAATAAAACTGCACGATTGCTCAAGGGAGACCTTTCTATCCCATATGATTGGCTTCAACATAGATCATGAGTTCTATAGAAGCTACAACCAAAGTGTGGTTGATGGGACAGTTAGCTCGTGAGGGAGGTTAAGGTGATGGTCTAAAGGGCCCCACCCCATCCAAACTTTCGTACTTACCCAGGAGACATTTTTGGCCTTGGGTGTTTTGGGCATGGCACCGGACCTCATGGACAGGAGAGCACGGAGACAGGGTCGCCTGCTAAGGTCTGACACGGACTTGGGAGACTCACGCCTCTACCTGCCGGGCGCAGCTCTGTGAAGCTCATCCATGGGAGGGGGTCACACCCCTAACTTCCAGATCCGCAGTCCAGTTTGTAAGTGTCCAGTTAAACCTGACCAGGGATCCTAAACACACCCCTACCTTCCAGATCCGCAGTCCCGTTTGTAAGTGTCCAGTTAAACCTGACCAGGGATCCTAAACACACCCCTACCTTCCAGATCCGCAGTCCCGTTTGTAAGTGTCCAGTTAAACCTGACCAGGGATCCTAAACACACCCCTACCTTCCAGATCCGCAGTCCCGTTTGTAAGTGTCCAGTTAAACCTGACCAGGGATCCTAAACACACCCCTACCTTCC